ATTATTTGAAAATTCTGGGTGAGATGATTCACAAAATCATGTGATCCAGGGATGGCAGCGATCTTGTCAGATAGACTTGGCCTTGCGATCACCACCGTGAGGACATCTGCGAGCGTCTGTGCCCCACCTGGGCCTTGTGCGATTGTCACCAACAGGTGAGGACAGCCATCTGAAAAGACTCAGAAAAGCTAGTTTCCACACCTCTCCTCACACTCAAGCAGTGAAAGGAGGAAGTCGCTCACAGGGCTAAGTCCAAAACTAAGTGATTAAGGATTTTAATGCAATTCTGATTTCATGTAATTCCCCCTTGAAAATACACAGTGAGTGTTAGTGCAGTGGCAAGAAGCTGCACTGCAGTCCCCAAGGCACGTGGTTAAAGTCCACAGAAGGAGGATGGGCAGTCTCCTCCCATGTGCTTAAACTGCCTCTGAAACGCACTGGAGGGTTAACTGTAGGTCAGTTCTAACTCGGTGGCAAACAACAACAGTATATAAACAACATTGTGAAACCATCCCCACTACCTAATTCCAGAACATTTTCATCATCTCTTCAGAAACTTGATTCTACCTAGGTCAGTCTTTGGAATTGCCTGAGTCCTGGGCAATCCCAAACTACTTTCTGTCGTTTTTGCTTGTTTGTTTTTTTCTGGCTTAGACTGGTGAGGATGTCTAGGGTTGCATCTGTTAGTTGAAACATGACACACTTGCTACATAAGATCAAAGAATACAGCCTTTATATGGATAACATCTCAGCATCAAGAAAACAAAAATCAACAAAATGTCCATCAACAAATGGATGGATTGGGAAATTACAATGCGTTCACATGATGCAATACTATGCAGCACTCAGGAACAATGATTTTGAAAAATGTAACGTCGGAGAGGCTGGAGAGCATTATGCTGAGTAAAACAACTCAGTCTCAAAAGGACTCATAATGCGTAAAACTATTACTGTAAAAATAGAAGGATAACAACTAAGATGTGTACTAAAGTCCAGAGAGGGAGGGGAGGGAAGAAGGATACTGAGAGTGGGGAGGGGAGGAATTCTTGAGGTCACTGAGTTTGGTGGGCAGAGCAAGGGCTTGAAGGAATTAGCAAAGACCCAGAGGAAATCTGAAAAGATGAGGTAATTGTTGGACATGGATCAACAGTGATTAATTTTATAAAACAAAATGCATGGGAATGATAATATGAAATGCAATATGAATAGAGAAATGCATGAAATACAACGTATGTAAATGAAACAAAGCATATACATATTTTGTGAGCAAATCAGTATAAAAAAGTAGTAAAAGGAGTTAACAATTAAACAAAAGAAAAATCCTCACCACTGAGTTGACAGACAGCATCATGATAATGGGAGATAAGAGTGAAATGGTCAAGGATTTAATCTTGCTTGGATCCACAGTCAACACCATCAGTACTAGCAGTCAGAAGATCAGGGGACGTATCACATTGGGTGATTAATCACTTGCTTTGCATCTTAGAGCTGAACAGTGAATAAGAATGACAGAGTAAGAATTGATGCCTTTGAGTTCGAATGGCAAACAGACACATGAATAAATGCTCCAGATCACTGGCTATAAGAGAGATGTGAATCAAAACCACAATTAGAATACCACCTCACTCCAGTAAGAATGGCAAAGTTTAACAGGGCAGCAAATAATAGATGTTGGAAAGGATGTGGCAGGAAAGGGACTTTTTTTTTTTTTGCGAGGGGGCGGGGAGGAACTCTTATACATTGTTGTTGGGATTGTAAAATGGTGCAATCATTCTGGAAGACAGTTTGGCACTTCCTCAAAAAGCTGAATATAAAAATTCTGTATGACTCAGCTATTCCACTACTTGGAATATACCCTGAGAATATGAGAACTGAGGCACAAACTGAGATTTGTACACCAATGTTCATAGCAGCATTATTCACCAT